TGGAGGAGTCAACCCACTGACAGGATAGTCATTTGCAAGCATGTACAAATTCATCCTCTCATAAACCTTTGGGCAAGTACTGCTTTGTGTGCACACCCACACATGTAGACCCAAAACACCCACACACACTCCCTCTCTGTCACATGAAAACATCTCATGATTTGAGCCACACAAAAATACTCAAAGGGCAGCTGTATTTATGAATGAACTGAGAGGATAAGAAAATGGCTCAGAGTGCACTTCCTTCTTTTTCCTCCAAAATATGCATGAGGCTACTCTTTTAAAAACAAACACTGGATTTAAATTGGCTGACAAACCACCTTAATGGTTGTGAATTAATTATGTAGCGTCATGAGGACAAGCAGTGAATACTGTACAACTAATTAGATAAATATTACACAAATAAATAAATGAATCTGGTATTAGCTTCTTGCAAAATAGTAGGTTACCATTCACTCTTTGCACTTTGGTAATATATGTAGCATCTTGTGCTGTATCTGTGACTGTCTGGTGCTTCCACATCCTCTCAAAATGAGATAAGGTAAGAGCTGAGGTAAGGAGCACGCAATGGACTGTTCAAAGAACATGAAGGAGTACAAATGGGGGAGGGGGACTGAGCATATTAACCTGAGAGCCTGAGTCCACCCCCTCCCCCAGGCCTCGTGTTAGACATCACCGAGATAAAAAATCTGCTCATTAGGACGGCGAGAAACACATTTATTAAATGAAGATACCTGTCAGTTCTCCTCTGGGGCATCCAACCGTGGTAGCAGAACAGTAAAGCTGTGTCTTAGATCCATATACTGTATACAGTGTATATTTACGGTCAATGTGTGTGTGGGTGTGTTCTGTATACTTTTTGTTGGAGAAGTTCCTCCCATGGCACACTGTAGCAGCTGCTACTCTGCTGTTACATTCTGTCACACACTGTGGGACTCTGCAGAGAAACATCTTCATGGAGTTGAAAATATTTTTTCATTACCTGAATTCTACGATACAAATATAACATTTTGTCATTGATTGTAAATGTTTTCTGCATAATGTACAACTGTGTTTGTTCATTCTGGTGATGTATACATTAAGTAATGTCCCACAAAGGCTATTTTTCAAGGTCATATGATGTACAGTTGTGTGAAAAAGTGTTTGCCCCCTTCCTGATTTCTTATTTTTTTGCATGTTTGTCACACTTAAATGTTTTAGATCATCAAACAAATTTAAATATTAGACAAAGATAACACAAGTAAACACAAAATGCAGTTTTTAAATGAAGGTTTTTATTATTAAGGGGGAAAAAAAATCCAAACCTACATGGCCCTGTGTGAAAAAGTGATTGCCCCCCCCTGTTAAAACATAAATTAACTGTGGTTTATCACATCTTTGGAAAGCTGAGTTCAATTTCTCTAGCCACACCCAGGCCTGATTACTGCCACACCTGTTCTCAATCAAGAAATCACTTAAATAGGACCTGCCTGACAAAGTGAGGTAGACCAAAAGATCCTCAAAAGCTAGACATCATGCTGCGATTAAATATTGTGATTGTGATTGTGGCTAAGTGGATAGCAGGGCCGTCTTTCAATCAGAGGGTCCGCGGTTCGAACTCCGGCTCCGCTAGTCGCATGTCGATGTGTCCTTGAGCAAGACACTTAACCCCAAAATTGCTCCCGTAGCTGTGCCTACGGTGTAGAAATGTGATAGACTCTGAATTGTAAGTCACTTTGGATAAAAGAGTCTGCTAAATGACTGTAATGTAATGTAATGAAATTCAGGAACAAATGAGAAACAAAGTAATTGAGATCTATCAGTCTGGAAAAGGTTACAAAGCCATTTCTAAAGCTTTGGGACTCCAGCGAACCACAGTGAGAGCCATTATCCACAAATGGCAAAAACATGGAACAGTGGTAAACCTTCCCAGGAGTGGCCGGCCGACCAAAATTACCCCAAGAGCGCTGCGACGACTCATCCAAGAGGTCACAAAAGACCCCAGAACAACATCCAAAGAACTGCAGGCCTCACTTGCCTCAATTAAGGCCAGTGTTCATGACTCCACCATAAGAAAGAGACTGGGCAAAAATGGCCTGCATGGCAGAGTTCCAAGAAGAAAACCACTGCTGAGCAAAAGGAACATAAAGGCTCGTCTCAGTTTTGCCAGAAAACATCTTGATGATCCCCAAGACTTTTGGGAAAATACTCTGTGGACTGACGAGACAAAAGTTGAACTTTTTGGAAGGTGTATGTCCCATTACATCTGGCGTAAAAGTAACACGGCATTTCAGAAAAGGAACATCATACCAACAGTAAAATATGGTGGTGGTAGTGTGATGGTCTGGGGCTGTTTTGCTGCTTCAGGACCTGGAAGACTTGCTGTGGTAAATAGAACAATGAATTCTGCTGTCTACCAAAAAATCCTGAAGGAGAATGTCCGGCCATCTGTTCGTGACCTCAAGCTGAAGCGCACTTGGGTTCTGCAGCAGGACAATGATCCAAAACACACCAGCAAGTCCACCTCTGAATGGCTTAAGTAAAACAAAATGAAGACTTTGGAGTGGCCTAGTCAAAGTCCCGACCTGAATCCGATTGAGATGCTGTGGCATGACCTTAAAAAGGCGGTTCATGCTCGAAAACCCTCCAATGTGGCTGATTTACAACAATTCTGCAAAGATGAGTGGGCCAAAATTCCTCTACAGCGCTGTAAAAGACTCATTGCCAGTTATCGCAAACGCTTGATTGCAGTTGTTGCTGCTAAGGGTGGCCCAACCAGTTATTAGGTTTAGGGGGCAATCACTTTTTCACACAGGGCCATGTAGGTTTGGATTTGTTTTCCCCCTTAATAATAAAAACCTTCATTTAAAAACTGTGTGTTTACTTGTGTTATCTTTGTCTCATATTTAAATTTGTTTGATGATCTGAAACATTTAAGTGACAAACATGCAAAAAAATAAGAAATCAGGAAAAACACTTTTTCACACAACTGTATTTACTGTGATATCAAGGTTTAAAATTTAAATTCATTTAAATGGGAGCTACTAGACTTGTAACTTTGTTTGATTGACTTTTGGGGTAATAATACATCACAGGTGGTATTACTGTTCCTGGATGCAGGAGAGTAGGTGACTGAGCCTGCAGAGTGTGTTGTTTAATGGACTGACTGTCACACAGAATAATACCTCTGAAACAGATTGTTACCCGAGTGGGAAATGTCAGTGACAATCTTCCCTGCCCTTTTCTTTGACCTTGCATCAAGTTGTTTGTTTGTTTTTGAAGGAGAGAAGATGGCAGCTACCACTCAGCAGTGCAAACAAAAACTCTTCAAACAGGAGGTGAAGGAAAGCCTGACACTGATGGTGTGTGATCGGGAAAATTGGACCATGATTGGTTGTAAGATGTCAGGCTACCTCGGCTGTGACAGAGCATATACATCTTCTGTGGCACCTTAATAGTGATGAATTGTTGACTAACTCATTGTTATTGTGGGTGATGAAACCTGCCAAGGTGGGCTGCCCTGCAAACTTGAAGCATGATGGAAGGGGTGGCTGTGGATACAGTCAACAGTGGCATTTGTATTTGCTTCCACTGCACAACTTGCAATAAACAATCATTTAAACAGCAATGCTGACTGTAAAAACATTAAATTAGATCTGTTTTACAAGGTAAGTTGTACTACAATGTTTCTGTCGTATCAATTATTCATGAGACATATGATACATAGTTCTTAGTAGTATTTACATTAGAGTTCACACACTACACTCACATCTCACCTTTATTAATTACAATTAATCAGACAACCCTACTGGATGCAATGAAAGTCCTGCAGCGCTGAAACTGTCTTGCTAATTGTATCTAATAAAGTCACACAGAGAGAGCTTTCAGGTCAGCTTCTACATATTAAGTGTGGATAACCCAACACCATGTATATTATGCTAATTGGAGAAAAAAAAAAACCACACTCCATAGATAACATTAGAAAATCCTGATACCCATCATATACATCAATAACATGTCCCAGAAACAGAAGAACAGTGTGATTGTGTGCCTAAATACCACCATAAAGGATAGGTTCAGATTTGTTCTATTCATTTTTTTTCTATTTCCATACATCAGTCACATGCTATGAGTAGATTGTGGAAGTTACTGGTTGCTTGATTTGGCTAACTCTCATAAGATTAACTTGAGCTTTTACACAAAACTGTGAACTTTGTTTCCCATCTCCCAGAGAGAAGTCGCACTAGAAAGAAGAACAAGAATGATTACAGTGACCAATAACTCTCAACGTACTAATGGACTTATGGTTAGTGAATTTGTATTAAGATGTACCTGAAATAATACAAACCAATCATTTACACCCATCTATCACAATATTCCTTCCTGCCCCTCTCTGAGAGATTAGCCCCACTTGTTTTGTACTTGTTTGAACCTATTTGCCATAAAGTTTCTACAGACAAATCTCGTATTGGTTGCATATCAAACTTACTGTGCACATACACAAACACATGCACATATAAGCATATTAGTATATCAATACATACCAATACATTAGCTGATGAGTGCCACTTCACAAATGCAAAACAGGTGCTCTTTGGATCAAAGGACATAACATGAGACCAAAAAAGAGAGAGGTTAGACTTAGTACTCAGCTTTGTGATCAATAAGTCATAATCAAAAAAAAATACAAATGCACACTGCTTTGCAAAAATGTTGCTTTCAATAAATGAACTATGCATTTCAACTCAGTCTTCCTCATAGCATGTAACTTTTCATAAAATATAATATCCTTCAATTGCCTTTTTAAAAGTATTTTTATTATATTGTGCTGAGTCAATATAATCTACGACAGCAAGAGTACCTTAAAGTTGTAGAAACAACACACACAATTATCTGCCACTAAGATACCTATTATATAAATAAATTATACAATTTCTAAAATTAGTTGAAATTACAAAGCAATTATTCTGACAGCAGTTAAAGAAATGTTGACGCTGTTGCAGTGAATGTTTGGAGGAGACTGTCGCCACCCAGCCCTAATTGCACCAGGTGTGCCTCTGATTGTCGAGGTAAACGGCTACAAGCAGCTGCAGTGCTGCTTTCGAGCGTAACCCCAAACCTTTGCGTCTTCCAACGGATTTGTTTGCCTCATGTGCTTTATGTTTTGGTCGCGACCATGCCACTGTGAGAAAAAAAAAAAGATGTATTCAACGCTTAACTTCTCAACTTCAGCCGACTCCACCCTGTCAGGTGTTGACCCTCAGAGACTGCAGGAGCTGACTCACCGGTCCGTCAAAGTAAGCATTATTATCGTTTTGGGCGTGATGATCACTTTGGGAAATATTGCAGTTCTCCTGGTTATTACTTCCTCCGTGGCTGGCTGGTCAAGAAACTCTCGGTACTTTCTCCTCTCTCTCACTGCTGCAGACTCTGCGTTTGGACTGCTGGTCATGCCCTTGAATCTCTGGGTGAGTCTGCTAAAGGACTACACCGAAGGGCCAGATGCGCTTTGTCACGTCGTGGCCTTTTGCAATGCCACCGTCTACTCCACCTGCATGTATTCACTGGCCACGATAAGCCTGGAGAGGTACGTCGCGGTGTTTTACCCGCTGCAATATTCATCTCTGATGACAAGAAAAAGGACACTGCTCCTGATCGCGTTCGCCTGGTGCTTCCCTCCCTTTCTACTGTCGCCAATATCATTTCCAGATGGTATTATCGAGGTTCATTTTTCAAATGCATCCCTGGTCTGCAATCCGTCCTACTCCACAAATGTTGGATACTCCCTAAGCTTGACATGCTTTATATTTTTCCCCTGCTCCATCATCATGACATACGCAAATCTGAGAGTGTGGTGCGCGGCAAAGAGGCAGAGGCTGAAACTGCGCAAATACGACTGTGCGCGTCGCAGGAGACACAATGTGGCATCCAGAGTGCTTGTGCCTGTGATGGCAGCCTACTACACCTGTTGGACACCCTGCATGGCAGCTATGATCTACAATGGTAAGCAATAAATAAGCTGAAATAAACATTTTTCAGGAGGTGCGGGGGGATCTTGAAAAAGAAATGAAAGGGCCTGCCATGCAATATAGAGATTACTTCCTTTTTCTTCCCTAATTCTGTTGATGGCACTCTTATTGAAAATCGCTTTTAACATACAGCATCCTTTTTTCTCATTGGATATTGGTGGAATATAAATAATGAATGAAGGAGGCTGTACAGACCAAAACTCCCTCGCAATCATGGTTTAAATTTACAGTTTACATTTACCTGTGGTCATAGTGAGAACATCTTGTTTGGCTCCAGTCTGCACATTTACCACTTTTGAGCTAATTTTCACACATTTCATTAAATAAGCGAATTTAGCCAAAATGAACACAAAGTTGTCCAGAATCATCTGAGGAAGTCGTATGTTGAAGAAAACTCTAGAATAGTTGTATCCCTTTGGTGTATATCTGGAGACATTAACTGTTTTGAAATACATGAAACTGCTCTTGCAACCATTTTTTTTGTGAAGCCAGATTCTGTAATAATACAGGGCAGCTTAGAGTTTTAGAACTAAAGCTCCTGAGATCAACCCAGCTGATTGCACAATGACTGAAGACGTGTAAAATAACTCTGCAATGGCTACTTGGGCACATACAGGATATGAGGTGTTTTTTAGCTGTTCTGGGTCAAATGTTTTTGAATCTAAGTGACAACGTTCAGAGTCAATGTGTTTGTTGATATTGCAGTATTTATGCTTAAGTCAACCTTAGAGTTTCAAAGGTAGCAAGAAAATAGAGAAGTAAGTATTTGAAGATCTACTGGAAGATTAATTCACAATTAAACATATTTAATGGCTATTTCCCCTCTGCTCATTTCTCCATCGATTTCAGCTGTGACTGTGCTGATAGAAATAGCTGTCAAAGTTATTTATGTAATTATGGGCATGAATATACTGACCCGTGGCCAGTTTTATGACTCGGGCCTTTTTTTTTTACTTTTTCTCATTTACCCCAACCCCGTGCTGTCTTGTAGTAATTGAGACTGGAAATGGAGTCGGTGAATATTTTTAGAAGTGAAGACCTTCTCCAAAGAGGGCTGTAATTCATCTGATATGGATGAAAATCCCTGCAAAATGAAGCTGACAGACTTAACTTAAACTTCAAAGTGCTCTGCTGTCCAAATGCTAGTGAGCCTCAATGTAAAGCGGTTGCCTCTACGCCACCAAATCTACCAGTTCATTTTGTACTGTTGTATCTAGACTATAAATGTTGATGGCTTCATATCATTGCTGTCAGTGGAAAGACTCGCATCTCTGAAAAATAGATGTATTCATTTTCTAGACATCATCATAAACCAGCGAAAGCGAGGCTGTTTGTTTTATTTGTGACCCTTTCATAAAAAAGGTCAACAAAAGGTTAACAACTGTTCTCAGTCAGAAGCTGCTGTCTTGTGTTAACGGTTGCTGTGAATACTTGCTCCACTTCAATCGCCATGTTTTCTGCCCCACAGCAGTCTCGGGCAGCAGCGCACCAGAGTGGATTGAGTTCGTGGTGGTATGGCTGCCGACCTCCAATGGTTTCCTCAACTGCATCTTCTACTTCTGGGTAAACCGAAGCTTCCGCAGGAAATTCCACCTCGTCCTCCAAAGGCTGGCTCTGGCCTTCTGCCCAAAACTGGCCGACACCCTCGGATGCCGCAGCACTTCAAAGACACATTTTGTGTCCGGAATTCTGGATGATAACAACAGTGTCTATGAGCGTTCTTCCAGTGTATCCTCCACCTGCACCCTGTTGAGTTTGGCTTAGGATGTCCGCACCAGAAGAGCACCACTGGCATGGTAAGAGACATCGTCGGTGACCTCTGTGCTGTCTTGTATTGTCCGCCTGAGCAGGTCAACTGACGTCAAATTATTGACATATCTCTAAGTAAGGTATCATTGGTAAGATGTGGGTCACATGGGTTGCAATGCAGACAGATTGGCACTAAAACAGGCTATCATGACAAGTACTTGAAATAACCACTGCACAGTCTACATCATTGTGATTTGAGTTATTGATGATTGTATATTTTTCTTTTTTTTTTTAAACAATGTTCAGTTGAGTGGAACATGGGCTCAATTTATAACTTATTTGGATTTTTGTTTTGTTTTACCCATGCACACAGATTTGACATACCAAGATTTGATTCATTGTCAGAGACGGCATCTTAAACCACCTTTTAGTTGTTTTAGTTGTCAGCCTTGTCTGTGCCCCAGAATTGCCTACCATTATTTTGCATACAGATATATAACTAATCTTTTATTCGTGTCAGCTGTTGTGTATTTAGACTTGTTGCTTAGGTCAACATATTTCACCTCAGACATTTGAGGTTAGTCAATTGGATTGTCACAAGAAACTGAAATTTAGACTCTTATTCATATGACAAATTTGTGAACTAACATCACTATCCAATTACAAAAGCTTAGAAAGATTAAAGCCATCAAACTCTCCTTCAATTTAAACAGTGCGTCGAAGACCTTGGCATACAACAGCTGGGAGAAGTTAACCTTTAAGTCACGGCATTTCAGTGTATGCAAGGAGAAAACTAATTATGCAGCTACACTGGAGAAAGGTCACCACATTTGTGCCGGAAAGAGAGAACTTGGGTAACTTCTGAGGCTGCGGTTGTTTATTTTAAGATATTAAGTCCAAGATCATCCTCTCAGTATCTTCTAACGCAGTATGGACTCAACTTGGCAATGCCAATGACATGTTCTTCACTGAATAGAGTTAGCTGTCATGGTGAAGATTGATTTAGATTTAAAGTTGATCAGGAGTAAGAGTCTTTCCAAAAACATTCAAAGAAACTGAAATTCAGAAACATTTTATGCAACTTATTTTAGCCTTTGGTTGTCCCCATCATTCATGTTTGTACATATGCAAATGTGTTAAGCATCAGAAGGTCTGTCACTAAATCATGCAATAAGATACCCAACTTAATAATGACCTTTGTATGTATACATTTTGTTGTGTTTCTAAATTCCTAATTTTATAAAGAATGAACAAATGACAATTAATAATGTATTGGTTTATGGATGATCTATGAAATAAAGCATTATGCCTTTGAAGTGTGTCTTCACTTAGTCAGTTCAGAATTTACAAATACATAATTTGAAAAGAATAAATGAAATTAAAGTGAAAAGTCTTCACTATCAGCTGTATGAAAATGCTCTGCCGTTTGTTCTGCTGTTCTCCACATTACTAAATAACAAAACAGACCTGTCAAAGGAACCGTGGAGAGCAGTGTAACTTACTCATAGTACCTGAGTTGTTCTTCTGCAGCATGACAGCATGCTGCTCTGCCTTGTCAGACAAAGCGTGGTTTGCTTCCAGTCAACATCTCAGCTTTAGTGTGCTCTGGTATATCTGGGGGCAGGTGTGTTGTGGTCTGCAACGCTTGTAGATGCTGTTGTTGATTTGTTTTTCTGAAGATTGAATTGGAAAGCAAAATTCCTAGCAGTTCATGCTTGAGCAATTTAATACAGTAATGCAATTCTAATATAGAAATGGAAGTTTGGTTTGTTTCACATGCCCAGGCTGTTTTATAGTAGACCACATGGTGTGTAGTAGTAGGCCGTAGCATGTGTTTTTTTGGAGTAGACAGAATAATTTGATTTGAATGTAGTGCCTAGTCTACCGTTGTTACATTCGGTATTATACATCTGAAAAGAGCACATTTCCAACATCATACACTACAGAGATTAGATGACCAATAAACTATTGGAACAGCGGAATGTTCATTTACATTACTAAACAATCTGGGTTTGCTATACCATGCACATACATTTGACATGTTGTTGGATTTTGGTAATGTTTGCTGTCAGTGTTCACTTTCTTCAGTTTTACATCTGATGAAGTGTTTTATGATGAATCGCTTGAATTGGATTATGCAAATTACCGCCTACCAGTGCCATGTTGGATGAAAGGTTGAGCCAGGGGTACAGAGCTAAGTAACATTGAAATTAATCAGAAGATGAGAATATAATGCTTCGACATCAGAATAATGGATTGGTATGAATTTAAAGTATGCCTCATGAATAACAGGTCTATATATATATATATATCTATCTATCACAAAACTAGTTTTGCAAAGAATGGTTAGAAAGAAACGAATCATGACAGACACTTCCTTAATACGTGTGACTATATGGTCTGCTAATTAGTAATGAAATATTCATATAAGGCAGGTGTAAATACATGGGCCAAGTTTAATTTGCTCAGGTGTATACATTTTAAAGCTTTACATTTTGACATTATTTGTACTGATATTCAGGATATATTTTTCATTAACTCATTGTGTGAGCAGAGCCCCAGGCTCAGCAACGTGACTCGGCAGAAATGTTGACATTTTTTCCAAAGTGAATGTACTCCTTTCACGGGTCTAAATCCTTTAGAAAAAGGTGGGGATGTTTTTATTGTGAAAGGTTAGCGTTAGCGTTTTAGTAAACCTTTTAGGCAGTTGTCAACGCTGCAAAAACTCTCTCAGGATTTCCTCTGCAGACAGAAGATTTGACACTGACATTGGTTGTTTCTGTGTGCCGCTGTCTCTGCTACCATGGTATTTCTGTACGCAGGAAAACAAAGAAGGAATTCAATTTGAACAACATTTCAAGTAAAACAAATGAGACTAAGTAATCCACATATAGGTGACTTTTTGGACTAAGTCAATCCACCAATCGGGCATATTGTTTGTTCCTACAGCATCCGTAAGTGTTTTTCCAGCCATTGGTGATTTTTGCTGAACAGGTCTCCCGGGACACTGGAGTGTTGTCCATTAGCAGCCTCAGCTCTCCTTGAGGATGACTGCTGATAGAAATGACAGGCGAAAATGTCTTTAATGAGTTTTAGGACACAAACTGAGAGAACTTCTGCCATTTAGATCCAACACATTTCTAAAACATTCCTTACTTTGGCTTACTATACAAAACATAGGCAGGGGTGCAAAAACAGTCCAGATATGTTTTTTCAGTATTTTGTCTCCAGACATTATTTCAAATAATCTGATTGTCTTTATCAGCACCACACTGTCACAGTAATAATGTTTCAGGTGTTTTTTTTCATCATTGCATAATGTATTTGCCACCATGTGTGACAGCATTGTTTATTGAGTTTACTGCTGGTCCATGCCCATGAAAACCTGGAGATAAACATGGCAGTATTCTGCGAAGAATTTATTAGTTTGTGCACAAGTTGGATTAACCATTTTAATATATAATTTTAATATATATTTTCGCTGTTTCCGGTAAAGGCCAAATGACACAACTGACATGCAACATCTTGAGGTTGTAGTGCCACCCTGTGTTAATATTAAGTAAGGCATGACAAAATCCAATACATCAATAAATGTATAATTATTTCTGACTGGTTGTGGTGGTGCTCGGAGGAAATGCTCATTTTATTTTATTGCATGAGTATATTATTTAAGATTTTTCCACGTTTTTTAGTTGCTAAAATTGAGGAGTTGATGCACATTCAAGATAAGTAATAAATGTAATATTAGTCTTATTTTATTTTTTAGATTAACTGAAATGCTTTATTCTATTTAAACAATGAATCAATTTTTGTAACGAGAGGACATCCAGCTCTTGATACATCCCGTCTGATTATATTAGAATGCATCAATGGGTGTTGATTTGTGCTTTCTGCAGTTTGCTGTTTGCTGTTCATGGGCACTCTGCACTGTGAGGGCTCTTGTGGACGATGCAGATGGGAAGTCTTTAATTTCAATCGCTGCTTCCTGCTCCCCTCCACAAAACAAGTAGATGAAGGGAGCAGGCATATACCGACTCAAATCAGTGCACAAGTGCATAACCACATTATCAGCTAGGCTACATTAATGCCATTGTTACAGTGGTTACATTTTAATTTGGATTATTCAGTCATTGCGCTTTGTCGCTCACTTCCCTGTAAAGCATGACAAGTAGACCGACTTTAATTTTTCGCTATTATAGATTTGTTACCATGATAGTACAAATATAGAAAGAACATGTGCAGCTGTTGCCCCAACTACTCTGTATTTGTGTTTGGGCTTATTCCTTGTTCCCAGCATCATTTCTTAACTTGTTTTCTAAATGGCCTCAACAATAATAGACAGACTTTTGTCTTTTGAGAGCCTGCTGCACAGTTCAGAAGCTGACTACCAGCAATTAAATGTATGTTAAGATCAGAAGTTAGTTTGTCTGTCCTCTCTGGCTAGCACACCTATCATTGTTTTCTAGATTGCCATTTTAGTTTTGTTTTTTTGTATGTTGTATTTGTATGACAATTGACACAAGCAGAGAGGGCATTTTAGAAAGGACAGTTAACTAAACAGATATTGTCAAGAGTGATAACAAATAAGTAGCACACCATTTATACATCTTTTGAAAGATTCATTTTATTCAAAGAGACTTTGAATGACAGGAAATGACAATTGAAATGCAAAGAGATGGCAAATATCTATTAAAGCCAACCAACAAAATTGAAATCTGCAAGTTATTTTGTAGTGACATGTAAAAATAGCAAGTTATATTCAGTGTTGAATGTTAATAGGTCGGTGGTAAGTGGACTTACAATTGTTATGTCTTTGTAGTTTGAAAATGCTTGTTTCAATAGTCATGGGAAATAAAATCAAAGGAGTGATTTTAGAAATGCTTTGCAAAGATTTATTTATCATTGCATATTTAACATTACCAACAGCAACCTCGAGAATTAAAGATGTTGAGTAACTAAAGTAGATTAAATAGATATGCTCTGTGGCCTGAAACACACACACCAGACTTCACTGAATACAATTCAAACCCTCTGACAGCTGCAGTACCTCTCACCCAAAACATACAATTAAGACGCATTCAAATGAAACATGGTTATGAAAAAGCACCAGTTAAAAACAAATAAATGGTTCTTCTTTCAAGGGTATTCACTCATCATTCATTGTCAGCTATTCTATGTAGGTAATACAATATTACTGTATTACATACATTGATTTATATTGATATGGTTCAGGCAGTTTGAACTTTTACACAAATTCTCGATGACAGAACTGTAGAAAAATGTGACAAATCAGAACAGATTCTAACTTAAACACTGACACCATATAACTAACTTAAAAGAAAAAGAATATGACACTGCAATTACATAATGCATTAATAACCAAGTAATAAATGCAATCAAGCAATTTTAAACCAGAAAACTGCTGTAAAGAGTGACTGGACTAACTCCTGATTCATATTGTAAGGTAGCAGTAACATTTTTCACTTTATTACAACAAAAATAATGCATTGGGAATTATTATACAGTGTAAAAAGTAGAATGGTACCGGTCAACTATCACCATTCTGCATACTAACGTCAACATTAAATGAATCAGTGAAATGATGGTGCATGTATACAGGCAGGTAAAATAACCGTTTTTCTGAGCAGGCAAATGGGTAATCAAAGTATTGACAATTGGGTCAAATGCATATGCAACTTTAAGTTAAGAACGGCATTAATGACAACAGGCAGTAACAAAGAAATGCAAAGAAACTGAAGGCAGACAATTTAATAAAGTTCTTGCCCAACCTTGTCTGTCTGGTGCACTCTATGAAGATGGACAAGGACAAAAGCACTTTATCAAATTGCTCACCTTCTGTTCCTGTTGCAGAGGATGCAGACACTCCTAATTGTGCGCGTCAGTGTGAGGAGGTTTTTGGTCAAACATTTCAAGGCCTTCAGATGAAAAGAGTGAGATGAAAACAGCATGCCAGCTCAGGAAGACTTGTGTTCAGACAGGTAGTAGCGATACAAGATACCAACGACAGTTGCTGCAATAGCAAGTATCAACCATGTCGTCCAGGAGCTGCTGGAAAGAAATAATGTATTTTTTTATATATAAATTATATATTATTATTGCCCATCGCGTCTTTTTAATTTGCAACTATCAGTGTTGATATTGATCATTTAAATCAATCACATTTAACCATTTGCAGAAATTAAAAAAACACTTTATAGTTTGTTTGATCTCCATATTTACAAGGATTCATGCAAGTGAGCAGAATAATTAGCAGTAAACAATGAGTCTGACACACGATGTTCATCATGACGACTCACCTGGACTCTCCTGAGTTCGAGATATTTTCATCCTGTAGCAGACAAATAGGACTCAAATTAGAGATCTATATAATTTAGCCACAAACCAAGATCTTTGTATTGTCTTTGTTAATTCTGTTTCAATGACTTTGCTGCTTACCGTCGCATTTTCCTTTTTTCTGTCATCCTGCAAAGAAAATCAATAAATCTTAATTTGATGACAGACAAATTACACTCATAACCAAGCCAACAATTAAAATCAAAGTCAATTTATTAGTCCGTAGTTGGTCAAAAATCAGATGTATTCATATTAATTACTAGTTTAATATTTACAACTGTTGACAAAATCTAAAAATAAAGTAGTCAGCCGGAATAATATCAGTTCTCACTGCAGAAATCAGTCCCTGGAGAGCCAGAGCAATAATCAGACCGCCAGGAATGTTTCCACTCAGCAGTCATGAATCTTGTAATTTATATGTTATTAATCTGTATACGCTGATCGTTGCAAAGCTGTGTGTTGGAAAAAAACATAGCAAAACCAGTGATATAGCAACATGAAACTTAACTAAAACACTATTGGGGGCCATGCAAAAAAAAACCTACTAAATGAGAAGAAATGTGCTGCTATCACAATTACACAGTAGTTATCTTCAGTATTACTATCCAACTATACAATATTATTAAAAAAATTACTGAAAGAATCAGACATGGTATACTTTCTACAAAGCCTTGATAAAACACAATTTAGCTAAAGTAAAGTTTGAAATTTAAAACTATCTTTGAATGTTCAACACTCTGTTTTTGTCTCATCCTACTATGCTGCACAGTTCCCAACATTTGCATTTGATTGAATGTCATCGCCCTCAATTTGCTAATAAGCATGTGATCCCCAAATTGTTTTCACGGCACCAACTTGTGACTCCGAGCAACTTTTGTGAAACAAATGGCTTCTTTTTTTCCTCGAAGCGATTTGGTGACGCTGATTACTCTGCTTGTTTAACGTCAGTATTTGACCGAGGGATATGGACACCATGAAAAGATACTAGAGGCAGGGAATCGGGTCCTTCAGAGCCAACAGAGACCTGATCTTACCATGTGGAGCTCCCCAAGATAGTACTGCAGGAGCAGCTCCCTGGCATCTGTGGAATGTCCCACGTCCTCAAAGCTCTCTGTGGCGTCAGCACCCGCCTGCTCTAGCAAAACCTCCTCGCCTCCCGGATGCTGAAATACAAATACAAGTGTTGAACTTGTCAATTTACTTATATTCAACACACTCTGAATATCATACAGGGGTTTTATAATGCTTCATTAGCCTAAAGAAATGAAAAAAACACTTGAAATCACAGGCAAATTTATGAAATGCACCAATATGATCAATCAGTTATGGAAAGTAACTAAGTACGTTCAAGTTCAAGTCTGTACTTGCGCATTTTGAGATGTATAACTGTACTAAAGATTTACATGCCTCTACAATAGACAGCTAAAGCTGCCAGTTACCTTACAGATTGTGAAATACTGTACATACGTCCACCTTCTAAAAACTATGAATTACTTTAAGTTAACATCACAAGTTGAATAACTAAAAATTAGCTCCACTGCAAGCAGCTCCAGTATTAAATTATTAATGACTTTTTATTATAGAATTAACATATGATGTTAAAACTCTGAAAAGCAAAGTTTGCATATCGAGTAACTTCCATATGAATCATGATACAGGTAACGTTAAGTTATAGTCATATTATTGAGTTTACAACTTAAAAAGCACGTGAACGTGTGTAGTTACTCCTTAAGGATCAAATAGTATGCAGGTATATCATGCATCTGTACTTAGAAGCAACAATAACATTAACTTATGACAAGCTTTGGCATCAACATCAGTTAGGTAACGTTAGCTACTCGTTTATGCAACGTTCCAGAATTCCAGGAAGTCATTTTAGCCGAAATAGCTAACGTTAGGTTAACCAAAGACTTCGCCAAAGCGCACACTTAAAATATGACCGAAATAGTTGCTACCGGTTTGCAGAAAGTGTTTCTTATTTCTTACCTCTTCGAGGAAACTTGTGATGTCATAGACTTTGTCGTGTACGATGAGCCAAGAGTCACTGCTCATGCTATGCAGTCTTATTTCTTCTAACGTGTAATATTTTACACCACCTTCTGTTTCGCCGTTTTCCTCTGTATTGGTGTTATTAGCGGATCCACTACCCGTGTGAGTGGGGTCTTCACTAATTTCCTCACCCATTCTAAATAGTGTAAATAACCCTTATGTCACTTTTAACCGACAAAGCTAACGTTAGCTTCTGAGTTCCGGGTGTGCGTGTAACGCTAGCTAGCAAACGTTACGTCTAAAGTCAGTTTGCACCCCGTTCGAATGAGGTTAGTTCTGCTCAAATAAAGCTGCTATTGACACCGTAGAGGCGAGATGACTTAAACGTCAGTATTACCACACTAATGGTGAATTGCGGGATAGAAAAAGTCCGTAAACCGGCACATCAGTAGACATGTGAAACCGACCAATGACATGCATGTCGCTTAACTATGAGTCGCAAACACGTGGACTGACCAATGAAGTTGTGACATTTTGATTCGCCTCCACTCCGGTGACGAATCAAAATGTACCACGTGATGATCATGAGACTTGGAAATTTGCAAAGGTTGTCAACTGTGCGTTGTGGTTGCGCATACGAATCTTTGTATGACATAACGTTTCTTTTTTATATCTTTTTGTTTGACAATCTTTGTTTTGGCACAATGTGGGATATAATGATTAATATAAGATGTGTTATAATTGAAATAATATTCCTCTTGTAACTCTAGACCAAAAAACGAGTATGGAAAATAGTATAACACAATTTAGAAAGCCAGAAAAAACAGCATATCTTTATGTCATTTAAATTAAATGACATAAAGATATTATGTTTTTTCATTTTCTGATGCAACATTAATGGAGCATGTCTAATGTTGCATGTAGACATGCTCCATTAATGTTTTCATTCAGAAAATTAATTACAATTAACTAAAATTAGTTTCTTCAGTGTTCAACTATTCATATTATTTGTGAACTCAAACGTGAATAATCAGTAATACAGAAAATGTCCTTGTTTGTAGGCCTACAGCCCTAGGCAAAAAAATTAAACTTTGGTAATTACATATTTTTAATAATGGGAACTTTATGTATTGATGTGCGTCTTACTGTGTTCATTGAAAGCCTGTGAAGCATACAATAGTGATGAACAGAAATATACTTTGCCAATTGTTCATCATATATTTCACATGTAAAGTCTGGATTTCATCACATTTAGGTGTATATAATGCTTTCAGGAGACTTAAGTCTAATTGTCTCAGGAGACACTGAAAAAAAGACAATATTTTCAGTAAGCAGCATAAACTTTGGTCTGACAAGCCCATCTGATAAAAACATATCTCATGCAACAGCAGCAAAAACACTTGTTGGTTGTATAATGCTCAAACCCTGTCACCTGTCACCTGTATACCTCTGTACACAAGGTTACACGGTTATTTAATATCATTGTACAACAGGCCTGTGCAACAAAATGCAGTTTTTAGTCCCATTTTGCGTCATAAGAAAAACACAAACTGATACTTCTGTATCTCTTGCCAGATAGCAGCCATGGTTGGTGTTGTCTTTTAATACAATTTCCAGTCTTCTCAGACACCTCTTGTTACCAATATCATTGATGCTTAGTAGACGGGTACCGGTGAGTACCCCTGTTCTGGGCTGTGCACATCCCATGCCAGTTTGTAATGTTTCCAGTTAGGATGGTTTCTGTTGATCCCTTGTGAAAGTTAACAAGAACTTGGCACAAAAATCCTATACCCGCTTTGCATGAGTCTTTTAATGCTGAAATAAAGAATACCAAAAACCAGGGGTTGTCTTTTGAGTATTTATTCTCTGTGCAGAGAAGGTTCAATCATCACAACAGAATGTGTACAGTCTCAGTGTAAAGTGAACGCGCTTTCTTTATACAGAAAGAGCACAAAGTGTGGGGGCCAATGTTACAGACATTTTGGTCTCAGACTGCTAAAAACAACAATGAAAAACAAACGGCCAGCAAGCAAAACTAGTGGCCAGATGGCCTTGGCGCTGAAACATTCTCATACAACATAGTTACAGTTATCTTTGTGAAGGCAAGGGTGAATTCTCATTTGCAACAACAGCAAGATACATTTAAGCACGTACGCTAACACAAAGGGTGAAGGTCTACTGAGTTCACAGCAAAAGTACAAGCACTTAAGCATTTACACAATATACTAAGTAGACATTTACCATTACAGCAGTTAGCTGCATTCCAAATCAAATATTTTTTCTTTTTACATTTTGCACATACTGCAGCTGCCCTTAGAAAGTATGTACTGTTGCATGCAGTATGCATTCAGTTGTGACACACTACTTCATTACAACAATGCACCTTGAACTTTGACCTACTTGCTCATATATCTGCTGCGCAAAGGATTATGGGTCAGAATAGCCAGAAAAGCATGTTGGTTTGCACACTGCAAAATGTGACTGGATGCAGTAGGACATACTGGTATTTTTAGAATACTACATTTCACATGAGCTGCGTTCGGAATTGCAAACTTTTTCTTTTTACTTTCACACTGTAGCTGCCCACAAGAACTTAGAAAAAGAGAATCCGACTGCACTTACGAGCTACAAAATGATGATGCAATGGTGGATGTAGAAAATATAACATCAAGAGAAATGACATTCTTCAGTCAATAGGGAGGAAAAAACAGCATGACCTTTAATTGTCAAGTCTCTTTGGAAGACAGCAGGCGATGTACTGATATCATTACTTTTTTATAAGAAACTAATTTAGCTATAATAATTTAACTTTTTCCTTTTTATTTATTTCTTTATCTATTATCCTGCATAATCTCTTGGTCCACACTACAGTCCAGTTGGTTGTGTTTAGAGGAAACAGGAGACCACACAGGATTAAATAAAACATCAAAGAATATATTTTTAAAATGATCAACATTTTACTATACTAATTATTACTTTAATTACATAATTATATAAAGTTATCCAGGGACAATGTCACATACGACATACTTAGGTACAGTGGATAGCGGTGTGCACCTCGTATGCAACGGTTACAAACCGCCAATTAAGTACAAGAAGAACAGTAACAGTCCAGTCCAGGCGGTGGCGGTAATGCGCCTCTACATTAGTTGGTCAACTCCCAATATACACAAAAAAAAGAAGAATTGCGGGATTGGGGTTTAATATCCAGATTATAACTTCTCTATGAAGTCTTTTTTTATTTGGATTTTTTTATTTATTTTATTCATAATAATAACATTATTGTGTTTAAATGACAATTGTCATAAAGTCGTTGTGTTACACACTCCGGACAGTAGGTGGCGGCATGCACCTTAAACGTTGGCTTGTAGTCCGCCAATAAACTGAAAAGAAGAAGAAGAATTGTGGGATTGCAATGGCTGCTCTCTTGTCTGTAAACATATGCGTTGTGTTTAAGAAAGTCGCAGTTTAGATCATTTCCAGTGACAGCTATATATCCTCCATTCTCTGGAGTACTTACCCGTGCATTAGTTGACCTCAAATCGTTAACTTGATGTGAGAGTTTCTGCATTTTAGACACAGAAACACGCGGCATATTCCCGCAGTTTGCCGCCCGGCCTTGTCGGGACAGGACCTGATAGCTCGCAGGCTTGCTGACGCTAGCAGCTCTTTGTCAGGTAAGCAATAGTTCCACTTAATCTAATCTGTTATTAATCAAGGGGACATATACTCATTTTACTTACAAATACACCAATGCAATACAGTTACTGCGTCAACGTAGTTTAGATTTACAACGCGTTTCCTCCTCTGAAGCCGATCAGTGTTGACTTAGTGGCTGCATGTCATTTGTAACGTTAAGGTTAAATTGGTAAACAACACAACAGTTCACTCAAAGCAAACAGGAGAGCTAGCCAGTATGAATCTGACCCTGTTTGTGACTTTAGGTACCTTTTAAGGTAACAAATGGGGGAAACTAAAGTTGTCTGTGTCTCGATGGGTTGTTTCTGAGTAAGTAAATATGTTAGCAGACGTTTTTCCTTTGAGCTGGAAGTAAAGTTTGATTGAACAAATATCTGTTCTTATGGAAGATGAAGATTAAATAATTTTACACCCCCATTGTATCAAGGGTCAGAAACTGACACAAATGTTGTTTTGGAGCTAAATTGATAGTTCGACTAATTTGACAACACATTAATTGTTGTAACCAAGTGTTTTATTATTAAACAATGGGAAACCTTTTGTTGTCACAGCTTCTGTACTGTAAGGATTTGCTGCTTGGGTTTTTCTGCTGCTGGTCAGACAATACTGCGAGGTCACCTTTGACTCTAGGATCTTGTCATTGGTTAATTATTGCATGTTATAGATCATACGATTCATGATGCACAAAAAGTTAAAAACAACAAATGTGTAATTTTGTCTAACGGATGCCATGAGCAACAGTTTAGTAGCTTAACACCTTTTGCACAAATTGTTTCCCCACAGATAATGGATGACGATGTGTCCATGCATAGGCTGGAAGGGACTGATCCAGATTCTCAAGTGGGTGGACTGATGGTGAAGAAGAAGAGTGCTGCTGCAGAGCCCCATGTTTTTCGAGCACCATCTCCTCGCACCTCGCTGCTGGGCTTGGATCTGCTGGCAGCCCAGAAAAGGAAGGAGCGCGAGAGCAAGGAACAGGCAGAGGCCGATGACATCAATAGAAAGAAGTCAAAGGTTTCCTCCTACAAGGACTGGGAGGAAGGTAAAAGTGACTCTGGGTCTGATGAAGAAGACGACGATAAGGACAAGGATGCTAAGAAGGAGAGGTAAGTGTTGGTGCTTCACCCATGATGATAATACTTTGATTGAAAGTTATAGATAATGCATAAATAGACGGGCAACACCCATCCCTCATGTTTATTCAGATTATCATTATTTCTAATTCATTTGATATTGAAAACTTTGGATCTTTACACTCCTGGACCGCACTGTTTGGGACGTTTTAAATCATATAGTATGACTAATGTGTCATGTTTTATTTACATTTTTCTAGCAGGAAGTATCGTGTGACTGGCTCCGAGACACCCTCAAGCCCCGGAGGGGTCAGCGAAGAGTTCCGACGCCGACACCAGCAGAGAGAGAAAGAGAGGCGGGAGCATGGAGTCTACGCCTCCTCCAAAGAGGACAAGAACAGAGAAAGGGACAAGGAAAGGAGCCGAGATAAGGGAAGAGACCGAAGAGGTGATTCTAAAGATCACTCATGTGACATGTAGCTTGTGTTGTTTGCATTCTAATGCAAGTAGACTTCTGGTTGTAGTCCAGAATCATAAAGTAAAAATTGCACACCTTGGCTCGTAATAGCCTCTCAAATGGAAATGGAATTTTTTTTCTACATCATATTATGGTAAATTCAATGCATTTAGTTTTTTGACTGTTGTGAGAAAAATAAGCAATTTTATTTTGGAGTAGGACAACATGTGATGACCGGTGG